CAGTGTAAAGGAATATTCTACAACATCTGGCCTTGATAAAACACTGGTTACAATTATTCTAGTTACAGGCTCAAAATTTTAACTTTCCTTTGGTTGTTTTCTAAATATAGATTTAAAAGTACTACTCATTATAATGAAATTATCTCTAGACAGAGGGAAGAGTATTCATGCTTTTAACCCAGAACCAACTTTTGGTTTGGTAACCTTGGGCTGTTCCTAGTTTTATAATGTAATTGGAGGTTGGTTTTCCTTTTAATTCCTCTGTCTTTGTCTGAATTTCTCTAGTATCTGTTTTAGTAAGTTTTTCTAAGGCCTGTAACTTATCAGTCAAAACAGCAGTATTTTCGCTAATGACTTTTTCTAAGGCCTATATCTTGGCACTCATGTCAACCAGCTTCTTTAGGGATAAAACAAGAATTCTCAAACTGATAATGTTTATAATTGGCATCACATAAACCCCATCTAAGTTAATTACCCCCTCATTTAATTGTCCCATTTTTTGAACATCCATTGTATAATCATACAGAGACCTAACTCCCTCCATCATAACAGTGTTTACCATTTTTTAAAATGGAAAAATCTCTTATTTTTTAAATTAATTCCCCCTTTAAGAATTCCCGATTGTTTCACCAAATCTGCTGCTGCTGATGGTGAATTATGAGGCTGGTTACTGTTGCATAACACATCTGAGCAGAGTACACAGGCAGTGCACAGCCTGGCTGAGGACAGCTGCAACTGCTAGCTTGTAGACATGAGCTGAGAACGTGTGGCGGTTACAACAACAGTAGAAGCCTGAGCAAGTATCAAGACAAGCTATCTCGTGAGACAGCAGCTTGAGGAATGGGTCTAGAGGAAGCCTGCAACCCATGGGGAGAGGGAGCTGTCTGAAACCCACATAGGGGATCATGCAGAAGAAGCAGGTGCGACAGGAGCTGCCTGAAGGCAGAGCTGGCTGGTGGTGAGGGGCTAACTCTGGTGGGAGTTGGAGCCTACAGGCCCGTGGAGATTGCTGTAGAGAAAGTACAACAGAAAAATCCATTACTTGCTCAGAGGGCTTGGGGACGAAAAGGAAAACCTAGCCAGAGGTGCAGTGACTCCAGTGGGTGCAGCTCCCACATGCAGCTCCAGTTCATGCTAGTGACTGCAAAGCCACTGACAAGTGGCTAGTTTGTATATACATGCCCTGAAAGTTGGATATCAGGTTAAGTGTTAATATATTTAAGCTTTATCAATAAAACTCAGGAGTCAGGTATTGGGGTAAAAATCTGAAAGATCAGAGAATCAAGGGAGCAACCTCTTCTGTTCCTCTGTCCAAAAAGAGTTGAGATCCTGCCTCAACCTCGCCTTACTATTTCCTGTCCTCTCTCTACAGTTCTCCAAACCTCTATGGTTACTAGTGACTGGCTCTGCCCTCTGGCTCCAAGCACACTTTGTCAGAATACAATGAAAATATCACACAAAACACCATCCAGGCCATGAAAACTCCTTCGAAATGGCCTGCCACTCACCAGCCCCAGGTGGTCTTATAGAACCTGCAAGCCCTGGACTTGCTGAACACTGTTGTAAACCAGTTCAGCTGATGTGACTGTTTCTTGTCTCCTCAGGCTGGGTCTGCAAACCAGATGCTTCAGATGACTGCTCCCAAGTCCAGGCTTTTGACCAATATTCCAACCTTTCTGGACCCATATTATGATGACCCTACCATAGTGCTGATTCTGTCAGAAATTACAGATTTTGTCATCAACAAAAGGCTGGAATGTTAGGTTTCAGGCAGTCAATATGTAGGTCTCAAACTGGACTCAGTGAAAATGGTGGGTTGATAAAAGTCATTCCTCAGAAACTCGTGAAGCAAGTTCCCATCAGCCAAAAGGAGTCATTTACCTCTAGCAGAAGAGACATATGGCTACTTGTGGCACCCATCAGCATATGAAAGTTCATGGTGGACTCCAGGCTCCCTCAGTATCACAAGTACATGAAATGCTACCCATTTCAAAGTCCACTTTAGCATCCAGGCCCTTCCCTGCCCCCTAGCTATCTGTCAGCCTTATAAACATGATTTGTCCACTAAAGATAAAATAGATATAAATATTGTAACTGTAATTCTTACTTGATAACTGTTTTGTTATATGTAATTTTACTATGTTAAAGTTAAAGCCTTTCTTTTTTTTGTTTAAACAGAAAAAGGGGAAATGATGGAGGTGGGTCTTGTAATAATAAAGAAACTGCCTCGGCCCTCATAGGACAGAAAATTAGGTAGGCGGAGTAGACAGAAGAGAATGCTGGGAAAAAGAAGCTTAGGAGGAGTCGCCATGATGCTCCCACTCCAGACAGATGCAGGTTAAGATCCTCTCTGGTAAGCCAGCTCGTGGGCTACACAGAATATTAGAAATGGGTTAGAACAATTTGTAAGAGCTAGCCAATAAGAAACTGGACCTAGCCGGGCCAGGCAGTGTTTGAAAGAATACAGTTTCCGTGTAATTATTTCTGGGCATAAACTAGCCATGCGGGCGGCCGGGTGCCGGGGACGCAGCCCTGCCGCAGCTCCTAATTCAACAACTCCAGACTATTTTCTCCATATCTTCATTTTATATATTTTTAATTAAAAATTATTGATTTAGCATAAAATCTGACATTCTCTTATATATTTAGTTTTGGTTTCTTCTACCCTCATCTCACTCCTCTCATCTCCTGAGCTCATCCCTTCTCTGCACTCTTTTGCCTCCTCTCTTCCCCTCATTACTTTCATAATACCCCTCCCTTACCATATGGCTCAGCTACAATACTCTTAAAAATATATCCAAAGAATTCTATCTTCCACAACAGAGATACTTGCACATTTATGTTTATTGTTGCTTTTTTTTCCAACACAGTGAGTAAATGAAGTCAACCTATCAATGTCTATCAATAGATAAACAGATAAGGCACAATGAATTTTTATTTTCCTATTTAGTGAAATAAAATTATAAAATTTTCAGTTTTATAAAAATGAACACATTAACACAAGTCTCATAAAGATAAATATCACTCTCATATGTGGATCATAGCTTCTAACTGTTGTATATTTGTCTCAGTGTGGGAGTAAGTGAGAATAGAGGCCTGGAAACTAGAAAGGGGCTTACAGTTTCATTTGAAATATAAAGTGAGGCTTGTTGTTTGTAGCTAGAGCTAGGTATATAGAACATAAGGAAATATCTATCATTTAGCTATTTCATATTACCAACACTAAATTATTATTGAAACACTAGTATATAAGTTTACTACTACAAAGTCTTTCAAATATTTTTTAATTTTTTTAATTTTTTATTTTTTTATTTATTTTTTATTTATTTATTTTTGGTTAACAAGACAGGGTTTCTCTGAGTAGCTTTGGATTCTGACCAGGAACTCTCTCTGTAGACCAGGCTGGCCTCAAACTCAGAGATCCACCTGTCTCTGCCTCCCCAGTGCTGGGATTAAAGGTGTACACACCAACACCCGGCTAACCTTCTTAATGAGAAAAGAAAATGAATAAAGCAATTTCTTCCCAAGGACTAAAGATTTTAATTTAATTGGGAAGAAAAATATAAACCCATAAGAAAAATTCCTTTTCACCTAAGTAAAACTTTAAAAATGTTGGGTTTCTTTTTCAGCTTGTGTTAGTTTTTACACTCTGTGTACATACTTATTTGAATGGATTCTTAACTGAGTTCAATTATTTTACATTGTTTAGCCACAAAGAATCAATAAATGAGAAGTAGAATATCTGAGGAGAGATAAAGTGGTAACAGTTTTCAAATTACCAGTAAGGTTGTTCCTAGCAGTTCTCTCCATTTCAGACAATAAGACTTTCTACTTGCTCTTTAGATTACTGAACAGACGTTTATCCTACTTCAGAACACAGAGCACTTCTTATTATTATTATTATTAGTCTCCCTCTTTCAAATATTATGTTACTATTCTTGCTCTTTAAAATAAACATATTTTGTGGCTGGAAAGATGGCTTAGGGAATTAAAAGCACTGACTGCTCCAAGTTTAATTTCTTCCCAGCACCCACATGCCAGGTCCAGTTAAAGGGAACCCTGACACATATGGCAAAACCACAAATTCACGTAAAAATAAGATAATATATAGTGTTATCTCTCTCTGCTTCCTATTTAAAAATAAGCAAATAAAACTATAAGCTCACTTTTTAAAAAATGAGCATATTTTTCAAATACAGAATTTTTTCAGGGCTTGGTGTTGTATTCAGAGCCACACACCCACTATCAAACCACCCTATAACTTGTTATACCCTGTAATCCAAATAAAACTTCAACAGCAAACATTTCTGAAGCTCAATGGTATGTGTATACTTGTAAATATTTACACTTTAGTAGATGAATATAACTATGGAATGAAATTGTTCCCAAACATTACAACGCAAATAGTGCTATCGATTTTGTAATGTCTTCTTGGGAAAATGCAAGTAAAGTCTAGTTAATATTACCACATTCTTAGTTTTGAGAACAACAAACATAAAAATAACACTTCCTTTTTTTTTCCACACAGAAAACATGAAAATTAAGTGCTATACTCAGAAGGAGGGAAGGAGGAACGGAGGAAGGAAAAAACTAAACTGTGAGTAGGATCGTCAGTTCTCAATATAACTGAAAGAGAAATGAAAATATTCCTTTCAACATTAATTAACCAAACTAAAAGAAATGCATTTTTAAAATGTTTCACCAAGAAGTAGGTCAGGTAGGCTCACTCCTAGTTTCCTTCAATCATCTTCCCAGCATTCTCCGAAATTATGAAGATATTGATAGGTGGTAATCCAGGATAAGCTGCCGCAGTAACTGTACTGTTACGTTTTGGTAGTCTGGAGGAACTTTTCTTAATTCCAAGATATTCTCAAACTTTCTGGGCTTTCTTCAACAGAAACGCAAAGTGAATCATCAGTGATGATCAAGTCTGGTTAGTGTCACCGAGGCAGATGGAATCTTCAGGATGTTGCCAACCCTTGAGCTGATGGAGTAGCTTCTCATTTTCTTGGACTTCTGCTTGACTGCCCATACTGTCTAGGGTCACTGTCTTCAGAAATGTACAGGAAGTTACATGCCACATACATGGGGAAAGATAGCTCTTGGCCTTCTAGGTTGATCACTTCTAGTTCTTGATGCCTTCTCAGGCAAAGAACTTGATAGCCAGTGTCCTTCCTTAAAACAGCATTTCCAGTCCCATCAAATGAGATCACACGCAGACGAAAGACAACTCTTCTCTGCCAGAGTAAGCTGACACTAAGGCCACAGGATTTGTTCAGTGCACTGCGCCGGAATACAATGCACCTGTTGGTGTAGGACACCACCAAGTCCCAGGCAAAGTTGAAGCCAGACCAGCTCCAGCTGCACGGCTCATCTGCATCAAGTTGCCCTCCACACCGCATGCTGTTTCCACGGATTTCAGACATGTAGACCTCTGTTGGCCCAAGTTCCCTAGACTGCTCTGCCTGAATAAGCATTAGCCATTGCTCTTTGTATATTGGGGTCAGCCATGTTGCAGGGATCACTGCATCTTGTTCAATAATACGTGCTGAAGGCAGGTCACAGATGATGTAAGCGAACCTTAGTTGCTGGAACACTGGCCCAAAGGCTCTCCCCAGATCAGTTTCCAGAAAAGGGGTACCATCTGAATTGGTTTTGTACTCATCAAAGTACAAGTCAGCTGCAGCCAACAGTGCTTCTTGGGATCCTGACCATGTGGGTTCCAGGTGCAGGAACATCCACTTTTTCAGTGTAGTGTATACATCTATCTCCACACCAATCACCAAGAGATCTGAAGAAGCAATGAGCTCTTTCATGAGATCCAGACCGACACCTCGCAATAGTTCGCTGTTTTGCCGGATCATCAGGTTGTCTAAGAACCACTGGTGGCAAATGTATCTGATGTCCACAAGTCCGTAATTCTCAGCACTGTAGTAAAAGCTACACACAGTCCCGACATTGACTGAGACCTTCATTATCTCCTCACACTGCAGAATTAACTCATCCAACTGCAGCATACTGGCTGTGGCCAAGAAGGCGATGACTCGGTTGGGAGGAATTGCTATGTTATTACTGTATAAGTAGCCCAAAGTCTCATAGAAAGACTCACAATCAATATTCTTGTCAGGCATCTGCATCTCTACTACATCCATGTTTGTCTCTAGCCAGGCTCCGCTGAACATGCTCGCAAAGTACCCAGACCGGCATAGGTAGACCCGGTGCAAGCACCACTCCTCCTCAAATGCGCGGATCCTTATGTCACTGTTCTCACCCCTCAGGAAAAGTGACTCAAAAATGGCTCTGGACTTAGTCTGGGCCATTTTTTTCGGGGGGACTTTATCCGGGTGTCCTTCTGGACTGGCCTTCCGCTTGCGGCCTACCTGACTAGGGCCAACTCCTGATGCCTCACCCGCTTCACCTCCCTGCTCTTCCTGGGCAGTGGCCGCTTGCGCTTCAGCAGCCTCTCCATCTCCTGCGGGACGATTTCCTCTGAATGAAAATATACTCTTTACAGCACCCATGGCTTCGTCTGAAGGGTGAAAACTTCCTCGTCAGACGTAGAGGCCAAAAAAACGATACCTCAAGCCAAAAGGCGGCCGAACGCGCGGCTGAACGGCGCGCGGCTGAACGGCACGCGGCTGAACAGCGGAAACATCAAAATGGCCGCCAAGATGAGCCACTCAGCAAGCAATACTATCAAGTCTTTTGGAGACTTGCGCCCCCTACCTTGGAGGACCACACATTGCACTTCCGTCCAAAACTTTCTGTTCTCGGGCCAGTCTCACAGACATACCTTTTCAGGCAGACCTCTCGGTTTATGTTCATTAAATACAAGTAGAATTACTCATCTAAAAGTTTGGATGATGATTACTTTATTAGGAATTACATCTTGCTCCCATCTTTGTCCTCCAAACAACTTTCACATACCTTAATAACTTCTACAAATGCATCATCGGCACAGATAGTGAAGCTATTTTCTATATCCTGTGGTGTTTTAAAACTGATTTATTAAAATAATGTTTCCAGCTATACAGCATTTTAAAATCATCTCAGTATGTATCAAAGCCATCTGTTTGCAGATCATGCAAACATTTTCCCCAGAAACCTAAGAAGTAAATATAAGACATAATCTTAAGGTATTAGGAAGATCAACTAGTCCAAATTTAAATCTGTTGGGTAAATTAAGGTCTGGACTTTACAAGTTAGTAATCTAGTGAGGGGCTATGTTTCAAAAGTAAACTTCTGCTGTGGCGTTTTCTAACCGTTTCATGGCTTAGATAATGTGGAGATACAGCCTAGACAGAGGGAGCTTTGTGTCTTCTTGATACACTGAACATAGATAGAATTTTCCCCCTAGTAGACAGATGTACTGAATTTACCCTAAAGGATGACAGGGATTACTAAGTTAGTACATAAATAGTTCTTGGAAGAGAATTTTTCTATACTGCAGGTGAAAATTTAGTTTAAACATTCCACAGTGATATGGTTAAACACCCAGGTTAGAATCCAAAAAGAATTACTTGACTACATATTTTGGCATAATTCAATTGTCAAACTTGGTGTAAGGCCAAGAAGCAGGGTAATAAGATGAAACACATAGGATGCATACAATCAGTAAATGTGCAGTACATTTTGAGTATCTGAAAATCTCCTTCCTCTTTTGAGATATATTTATCACATAACTATTACAAATTGCATTGGTAGAACATTTGCTTAGTATGCACAAGGTCCTGGGTTTGATTGTCATAACCAATTAAGAATAAAAAAAATAAATATGGAAATAGAATAAAATAATTGAAATACGAAGTTAGTTGTTTAGAATTTAATCATCCTTATATAAACCAGGGTCATCTAGGAAGAAGGAACATCATTTGAGAAAATGCCTCCATTTGATGGGCCTATAGCCAAGTCTGTGGGCATTTTCTTTATTAATGGTTGATGTAGGAGGTCCTAGCCCACTCTGAGCAATGCTACCCTTGGACAGGTGGTCCTGGAAAGTATAAGAAAGGTAATGAATGAGCAAAATGTGAGCCTGGTGAGTAAGCCAGTAGGTAAGGGTCTTCAGGGGTTTCTGCTTCATTTCTTACTTTCAGGTTTCTGCCTTGAGTTCCTGCCTGGCTCCTTCAGTAATGGAGTATGGCCTGAGAATTGTAAGATAAAATAAACCCTTTTCTACTCCAAGTTGATTTGTGGTAGTTTGAATGTAAATGGCCTCCACAATCCCACAGGGAGTGGTACTATTAGGAGGTGTGACTTTGTTAGAGTAGGTATAACTTTGTTGGAAGAAGTGTGTCACCGTGGGGGTGGGCTTTGCGGTTTCATATGCTCAGGGTACCACCCAATGTCACAGTCTGCTTCTCATTCTCTGCAGGATATAGGACACTCAGCTACTTCTCCTACACAATGTCTGCCTGCATGCTGTCATGCTCTCCAGCATGATGATATTTATGGATATTCATTTGACCTGTATATGTATTCAGTTGTCCTTATGTGATTTTAATAAGTATCCTTGAATTTCACTTTCCTGCATGCATTTTGTTATTCTAGTTTCATAATTTGCTTGCTTGGTCTATAAATTTGAATTATTCCTTTATTTTCTGAAATAAACTTCGGTTACAAATCTTCTTCAATTACTACTCTGGTGTATTCATATGGTTTTATAAGTACTTTTAGATCCTATTTTGGTATTTTTAGACTCTAATATTGCCTTTTTTATTAATATAATGCTTTTGTTAATTCTTTGATAATTTTATATATGTATATAATGCTTTTGTTAATTCTTTGATGATTTTATATATGTATACAATGTGTTTTAATCGTATTTCTCAACTTCCTTTTCTTCTATAACTTCTCTGGATCCAACCTCTATTTCCCACCTTCTTCTCAACTTCCTCTTCTTTTGGGGGAGGGTAGGAGTAAGAATTGGTTTTCTTTATAGGTGTGGTCCCTTGTAGCTTGACCGTGCTCCACTGGTCATTTATGCATATTTGGGAAGCACAAATGGGAATCAATGTGTTATTTTTTAATGGGTTCAACTGATTAAGTATCTATTTCCTCCAGTGGCTCTGAAGTCATATATCTCTAACACACACACACAGTTGTATATCACTAAATCTAACATACATATTGTTATTAGATACATTAGAGTAATATGTTTCTAAATCTAACATAAAAGTTATATGTCTCTAAATCTAACAATTTCTAGTTGTTAAATCATTTAATATCTCCACCAATGTTGCCTGATCAGGTATGATATTATGAATTTTCTATCCTAAATTAGTAGCTAATTGGGTAAAACTTAATACCTCAGTATAATGTCACTCTAGCCATGACTTAAACGCAATGTTTTTGCTTCGGAAGTTTCTCTTACAGTATAAGATTTTTCATATAGCACCAAATATATTAAAGTTGTCTGTGTATTTTCTTTTTCATTCAGCCTTCACAAACATAATGTTAGGTGTTTTTTCTAATACCCTCATTCAAAATGAGAAAAATGAGACTCAGAGTGATCAAGTAACCTTTCCAACATGGAATAGGCCATAATTTGTGCAATGTGCGTTTAAATCGAAGTTCCTTTAGATATAAACTTCAGGGATCTTCCTGCCATTCCACATTGTCCTCAAAGTTCTATATTTAATTGTTAACCACTTGTGAACTCTCCTCATTGGATAATTCAATCTGTGAGACACTGCTTCCTAGTCTTTACTAAAACATCGAATTGAAGCATTGCTTTATGGAGCATTTTTCCACATTGAAAATCACAGTATTTTGATTTGTACTTCAACTTCAAAACAGAATCGAAGGAACTCAAAAAGAGAAGCAAATTCCATTGTATTTATACATAGTTTCACTCTTTCTGTTGTCTGTTGGTCTCTTCGTTTTCATCAATTTTACTTTCAGGAACTTCCTTTAGCCATCTTTAATTCTCTGCTTTCCTTTACGTGAGACTGCTTATATTACCACCCACACTCCGCGCGTGTGCGCATGCACATACACACCCAGAAGGTGCTTCTACTATTTATTGGACCCTGGAATGATAGGATTTTTTCCTGCTGTATTTCCTTTTCTGTCAGTACTCTGGTAATGTTGAGCCACTTCTTTCTGGTTTCCATGGGTTTTGATAAGATATTCTACTAAAGTATCAAATGAGAGCAATTGTTAAACCTTTTGCATGATCTCACAAGATGCGGGAGTTTGTTTTCACTTTACTTTCTTGCAAACAAAGTGTGTAATCTTTTCTCTGTCTTTAGGTCCACTGGTTGCTTTTCTTCTATCATCTCCACTTTGATGACAAATTTATCCATTTACATTTTTAAATAACCAATCCCTTTCTAATTTTGATGATTTTAAAAAAGTTGCAAAGTATGTGTCCATTGAATTTTTCTTTGTATCTTTATCTTTCCTGAGACTTCCTAATTTTTTCACTTATCTCAAGTATGTTCTTAGTTACTCATTTAATCACTTTCATGATAGCTGGTTCAAAACCCTTCTAAATAAGAAGGTGAACCCAAGGAAAATCATATAGTTATCCTGTTGGCTATGGGACGTAGACAAAATTGCTGGGGAGAAAATTGAGATCTTGGGGGTGGGGTGGGNTTTCAGTGACGTCCCTCACCTAATAATTCAAACACCTCTTAAATGACTGAACAACCATTAGGATATGCACAGATTCTATAAGCTGGAGGTTACAAGACTATTTTACAGAGTCAAGAATTTTTAGAATGCAAAGGCTTCCTCTATTATGTGTTAAATGGCCACTTTACTGAGAGACGAAATGGGACACGGAGTTCAGTCCAGTGTTAGAATGGCTGTGAACCAAACCAAACCGAAATAAAATAAAACAAACAAAACATAACAGCAATATTAGTTCCTGTGTCAGAAAGCGTCAAGCATGTTATGGACGCTGGAGTGTTTAACTGAAGTAGAAAATAATTGGAAGATAAATAAACAGACAGCGAAAGTTCTAAAATCTGCAGCTACAGATAGAATTAGAAAAACTGTCTGAACAAATATCAGCCTTTGTTCTTAGGAATGTTTCCCATCTCCTATTCAGTCTAATAGTTACAAGTAAATAAGAAATACAACTATACAAAATGCTGCGAATGGCTGAGTAGTGGTGGCACACGCCTCTCATTCCAGCACCCTGGGAGCAAGAAGCAGGCAGATCTCTGAGAATTTGAGGCAATCCCCATCCACAAAGTGATTTCCAGGACAGCCAAAACTGTTACACAGAGATATCCTGTCTCATGAAAAAAAAAAGTTGGGAAAGTTTTTGGATTGGAGAGGGAGGGGGAGAGGAGTGGGGGGAGGGGGAGAAGGGTGGGAGGAGGGGGAGGGAAATGGGAGGTTGGGAGGAGGCGGAAACTTTTTTTTCCTTTTCTCAAAAAAAAATTAAAAAAGCACAAAAAAGAAAATAAATATTAAATTAAAAAAAAACCTTCTTGAGATATTCTCCACTTTTTATGGTCTTAGTTCTGAGCCTATTGATTTTTTTTTCACATTTAAGTGAAGTATTTACTGA